TTACCCCCAGACTAGCGAGTGTGCTCTGGGAGAGGGGTAGGCCGGACATAAGGCGCCCCTAGGGAGGCATTCGGAGCCTGGAAGGTGGTGGGGTACAGGGAGGTGGGCGGCTCAACGCAGGAGCGCCCCCTACTGGCCCACCTCACGTGGTGGAAATAGCGGTGGGATACGAATACCCAGCTGTTTTCCTGAGGTGGGATCTCTGCACCCGCCACAGGCCTCCCTAGTCAGAGCATCACACAGTACTATATCTCAGCAGCAGTCAGAAGCAGGACTCAGGTCTTTGACACCCAAGCTATACCCATTGCGCTATGCTGCTTCCCCTGTAGAAAAGAAAGGGTTAACCATCACTACCATGGTCATAAAGAAGGCCTGAGCAATGAGCCCAAAGGTTGGATGGCTGGATGTGTATGGCATTCAGAGGCACACCTACCAGTTGGCACGGAACAGAGAAACTGAGGCCTCATAGCTTCTTACCACTTGACTGTGCATATCTGAAATGAATCCTGAAGGTAGGCCTGTGGGCAAGAAAACTGTTGTGCCTAGGGAAAGACACCAACATGACCAGCAATGGACTTTTCTTGGGGACTCTTCTAAGGCTCAGGAGAACCTGGACTCAGGGGGCATTACTGAGAGAGGATTAGTCCTGCTGAGCACAGTTACACGTGATTTTTTTTACAATTACACTTCCTAGCACTTACCAGCACATGATCAGGCACGGCATATTTTGCTATCTTGGAAGCAACTATTGCTTTAAGTTCTTGTTTAACATGTTCTGTCTGAACTGTGTCATCTTTCAACACTACGAAAGCAAAGGCACCTGGAAGGAAAGCGAACAGGAAATATGTGCTGCATGTTAGTGACTGAATTCCAGTGGGATTAGGGCTAGATTGGCCATTAGCGGGGGAAGAGAAAACTGGAAAGGAACAGCTGCATCATGCCTGGACAGCAGAGGGAAGTGAACTCAGGTGCCCACATGCAATTCTATTCTACCCTGTTCCTGAAAATCTATTAATGCATCTTTTGTGCCATGTGGCTCTTAGGACAGAGAAACAAAAAAAAAAGGAGTGAGGAGGAAGACCCACCCATCTCTTTCATTAAGATTTTCAATGAGGATGGAAATGCACTCAGGCACCCAAGTCTACTTTACACACCTAGCAGGTGGAATGGAATCTATCCTGACAGCTCCCCATGGGGACTTACTCACCCATCACCCCCTTGGCCTTTGCAAGTCTCTCCCTGAGGATGTCAAACTTTGGCAGCTGATGTTAAGCTAGATACCACGCTGAGATGCAGCAAGAAATCTGGCCTTTAATTAGCAGGGTCCTATACCATCAAAGGCCTTGAGTATCAAGACTAGACCCTTGAAAGGGATTGAGAAGCAGGAGGGGAGACAGAGCACAGGCCACAATAGTATCTGCTGGTATGCTGAACTGGGTAATCTACCCCAGTGCTCAGTGTGCTACACAGGGCAGGAAGCTCCAAAAAAAGAGTTCCAGCTGACACTTCAATTCAGGACTTGCTCTTAGAGACATACCTTCTCCTTTGATCTCATGCGGGTAACCAATCACAGCTGTTTCAGGCACAGCGGGGTGTTCATCCTTTTAAAAAAAATGGAGCAAGATATTTGAGACCTTGTACCATCCAGGGGCCCATCCCAACTGTTCTGGGAAATGCAGCACTGCTAAACAAGTACAGAGTCCCTAAGGAACAATTTTGCCATTCTAGGCATGTCTGCACCATGACAGCAGGGTGCTCAGTCTCACTGCTGAGGAAATATGCCACTCATCTGCCCCCAATTTGCATCAACCCCATAAATGAGGAACTTGCATCCCCAGAGGTGCCCCAGGCTGCAGTAGGCCAGGAACTTAGATTGTAAGCGCAGTGCGAGGGGTGTGACCAAGCCATCTTCTGGCTTCCTTTCTAGAGCTGGCACATGGGGTGGGAATGGGAGTGCGCAGGCCGGGTTTATTTCCACAGCAGTATAAACATGGCCTGTGTCTGTGCTTTGAGAGCACAGTGCCTGGAGGCCAGCTTCCGTTCCTACTGCAATGAGCAGGAGCTCCATGTGCCCAACTGGGTGCGCCTTCATGAGACACTTTGAACACAGTAGACTAATTCTACTGCACATTAATGCAGTGGATAAAACCTGTGCTAATGAGCTAATGCACAGCAGAATTAAGCTACTGTGCATTAGCATCATGAAAAAAAGTGTGCACCAGTGCTAATGTGCAGTAGTGCTAATTATGGTACATTAAGTTAGTACCTGTAATTATAGGTACTAAACTTAATGTGCCATAATTACAGCACATTAATGAACTTGTAGATGTGCCCACTGAAAACAGTATGGAGTTGCCTGGGTGTGGCTGGAGAGGCCATCCTTTTTAAACAAGCAGGTAGTATTTTTGACATGGCTTTCTGCAAACAAGAATAAATCTGGAAACGAGAAGGGTCCTCTCTATGCTTGGAATGAGTGCAGCCAGAGCCTGGTGAGGGTGCCCTGTCACAAACCCCAAGTGCAGACCACATGGCAGGCTGAACTAATTTGTGTAGCTTTCACAGACAGAATCAGTGTAAATGCAGATTCCAAGCTTGTAAACAGCCTCCTTGCCAACACTGGATATGTCCTGCTGCAGCCCCAGTGACTGCTGACCCAGAACAGCTGAATCTCCAGCGGAGTCCAGATCTACTCTACACCTTGGGTAACTGTTAACACTAGACTGAGGACAAAGATGCCACTCTGCATGAGCACACATCCATGCATAACATTCAGGGCAAAGCCAGGGAGAGTTAGGCTCATCAATCTTCCAACGGGAAAGGGAGGTGCTGCTTCCCTCAGTGACAGTCTTCATTATTGAGGTACACAATAGTGGTTTATTCTGCTACAGTTCACTGTTAAGACTGACAGTACTTCTACACTGATGGAGCAGATTGTGTATACAGATTGAACAAAACAGCATGTACTAATCCCAAACTGAAAAATGGGTTATGTTAGTTTAAAGTTGATTAAAACATGGAAGAAAGCCTCATTGTGCCAGGCTCCTCTGAAGGGTACCCAACATGAAAATATATAGCAAGTGTTGTATTCCTTCATCCAAGAGCTATAATCAAAAATCTGCACTGGGGTGGCTAAGAGGTTTATTTGCAGAGGAGAGATTACAATCACTCCTCCAATGTAAACATGACTTTGACTTATCCAATTTCACATCTTAGAGCCGCTTGCAAGTGAGGCACGTAGTAGAGCAAACATATTCAGGTCAAGCATTGCAAGTAAATGCTTTATAAGACTCTGTGTTCTGTTCTGTGGGTTCCCACATCCCCTTAGCCACATGGTGGGAGAGCTTATCAGCTGGTGTATACTGTTCTGGATTTAATGCTGCAAAGTGCTGCAAAAACATGCTCAGATATTGCAGAAGGGCCCGACTCACAACGTTTAGAGGAAAATACCAACTCTGTCCAAGATGTTGGCAGGAGAGGGGAAGTCTGATCCTGTGTTCTGATTCCCATACTATCTCAAATTAACATAACAAGGGCATAGAAATATTGCTAGTTCTTTGAGAAACTAAATGCCAAATGAAATCTTGCCGATCCAGCCAAATGAACTGCATTTATCTTTTTACAGATTCACTCTGTGAATGCTACACAACCCATAGAGGAACTGAGAGAAATCTCTTCACTAGAAATTCTTCAGCAGGCCTTTCCATGATTGCATCATGAGATGGTTCTTTTCTTTACCCTGATCACCCTTGCTTTTCTACCTAAGGTATGCGCAGATGAAAAGTTCAGGAGTAGCAACATTAACCCCTGCACACAGAACCTCCCCTCCCGGGGCCAGATCTTCAGTTGGGGTAAGTTAGCAGGGCTCCTTGAAAGCTATGAACCTGTGATGTTTTCCACCACATGAGGGTCTGGCCCTAGGCATTACTGAAACTTACCATGGCATCTTCAATCTCGGCGGTTCCAAGCCTGTGACCACTGACATTGATGACATCATCCATCCGCCCTGTTATCTGGTAATACCCTTCCTTGGTTCGATATGCACTGTCACCTGTGAAATAATAGCCTGTAGCAACACAGAAGCCACTGATCAGTAACAGCTGGTACAACAATTTAGTTATTAGTATCTACATTGGCAAATCTAGGGTTTTGAAAAGGGGAGTAGGGGTGCAGATGGTGTGGAGGCATCATTACATATATCACAGCACATTTTTTTCTTGAAGTAAAAAGAAACTAGAAGCTTTACTAATATGCTATGGGCCCAGGGTTGTATTATTCAGTTTTAGATTGAAGCAAAACATTTATTGGAATGTACATTAATTTGCTATATCATATTTAATGTATTAAAAACATAATAAATGGCACAAATAATAGAATATGTTGTTTCTTTGGTCCTGTAGTAATTACAATTAAATATACAACTCTTTCAGGGTCATAAAAGAAAATCCAGACTTCTTGAGTATCTTGAAAGTGCATCTAATACTTCACTGAAAGTTATTTCCACACCTGAGTTAATGTTAACCAGAGTTAGTGTTCTTAGCAAGAGCTAAAAATATCTGCAGGGCTGTGAAATAGGAACTAAATTACCAGAAGCAGCTAACAAGCAGCAGAATTGCAGAAGAAAGTATAGTTTGATTAGTGGAAGATCAAGACCAATAAAAAAGGGAAAGGGCTATTAGCACCTGTGGAATCAAGAGTTTAAAACAAATTAGTTAGTCATTGTAACCAGGTTTGGGCTCCGGGGTGGCCAAAATGTCCCCTGATGGCCACATGACAATTATCCTGCTCCAGCTCTAGGGTGTCCTCCCCTTCTCATTCACCCACCACACCTTTGAAGTAATTGTTTGATTGGAAGGGAGACTACCTAATGGGTCCTAAAGCAAGCCCCAGTTCCTCTAGATGCCAGCTAGTTCTCCCAGGGCACCTGTTAGCCTTAAGGGCTAATTACGTGGCTCTGACCATACCTTACACGATGCCCATGCCTTGCAAAAGTTACCAATTAATGACTTCAGTGGCCACAGCCTCAATGCGATTCCAGGCCACCTCAGGCCTTTACACCATTGCTGGGGCCTCAACCTTCCTGGCATCAGCCCCTTTTCTCTTAGTGGTTCCCTTAGTTTAGGTCCATTGTGCTGGGCTTGATTTCTGGGTCCCAGACCAAGTCCTGCCCTCTCAGGTCATGCCCTGCTTGGGCTCCAGGCTACTAGCCCTAATCTCACCCCTCTAAGACTGCCTCTGCCCTGCGTCAGACACTGAGCCTGCGCTGGCTCCATCATCTGGGCCTTTGGCCCCAGTGTCCTTCACTCTGGGCCCCTGGCCCCTGTCTTTGTTCCTCTTGTGCACAGGACCCCCCTGCCCTTGGCTCTGCCCTCCCTGAGCACTGAGCCCCCTGGCCCTTGTCCAGACCTGTGGAAGCTAGGCTTCAGCCTTTCCTTCTCTCTCGGCTTGGATCTCCCCCTCAAGTCTAAGCTCCAAATCAAGGCTCTTAGCAGAGCTCTAAACTCTAGTGTGCCCATGGCACTCTGCTGTGGATTAAACGCCTTGTTCCCTTGCAGCTCATGATAAACAGCTTTCCCTGTCTGAGGCTCTCTCTGCTGCTTCTTCACCCTTGAAGTAACAGGAGCCTTTGGCTCCCTGTTACAGTCATGAAGTCAAGTGACTCCCTCATTGCTGCCCAAATAGAAATGCTGCTGCCACTGCCAGGCTGATGGTTTGAAACTTTGGGTGGACCAGGAATTAAAGGGGTGGGGGTGACTGCACCACTGTATCCCCACTCCCCCCCACCCCAGCCCCAGATGCCTCCCCAAGCATCTGTATTGTCCAGCTGGGCCAGGTTTTCTTACACCTGCTGTACAGATAGGTAACAATACACACCACCTTTCTCCCAGCATAAGCAATGAGCCCTCTAGGACAGGGGCAGTCTCTAAGACTAGAGATAAACATCACCAAATGAACTGGGTCATCTGTGCCAGGATGTGTTCCTGTGCAGCTGATCCACTTCTTTGGGCAAAACACTCATCACCTATTACCCTGCTTATTGATGCCTTTGCCCAATGGGCAAAGTGTTCTCCTGAGGTTTGAGGGGGCTGGTTCTCTGCATACCGGGAATTCCCATGCAGGATTGAGCCCCGACAGTCCTGGGAGTGCCTTCCCAACCTTCTCCACTTGCAAAGATGCACCCCAGGATCTCTGGAGCGCATCTCCATAAGCAGGAAAACTGGACAGGAACGCCTAAGGCTTGAAGGGCCTGATCCTGTGCGGGAATTCTGGAGGTGTGCACCTGCCCAGGGTGACTGGAGAACGTGGGCAGCTTCGGGCTGCCAGCATTCTCACGCCATAAATTAAACAGACACCTGCTGCTAAACAGCAGCACAAATTGGTGCCACCATTTGCAGCACAACAAGGAACATGGACGTCTGTTTGCTTGGCCTTTGCGCTACCATTAAAATGTTTGTGGTGGCACAAAGAAAATGAAAGGCAATATCTGTTTCCACCCTAACATTCCCTAAAAGCACAATGCTAGCCCTGCATGATTCGGCCCTCACTGGGACTTCTAGGAGCTACTAGAAGGCAAATACTAATGATCAATGAGGCATGAAAAAGTTCATGTGTTCTTGCTTCATCCCCCAAAGAGAAGTAACAGCGCCTCGGGCACCCACTTCTCCCTTGCCTCGGAGGCAATCTCAACCCTCTGCAAGTCTAATGCCTGAAGCCACCACCCCAAAGCCCTTCATGCACCCCTCGACCAGGGATCAGTGTTTACAGGTCTCATATCCACTGTGACCAGAGACCAGAGTTTGGAGGAGCCCAAGCTCCAGGACAGGCATTACAGTCCCAAAGAGAAGGCATTTCACTGGAATTCACCACCTCTGGGCTTGGCTTTCCTCCTGCAGCTGTGTTATCTTGGCCAAGTAACATACCTGTCTCTGATCTCTACCTCACACTTGGACTTGGTTCCCATGATCCTGAACTCTTTGGGACAGGGACACAGATTCTGACCATGGGGAGGTACAGCCCCTGGTAAGAGTGGCGCCCTGACCTCATCTAGGGCCTCTAGTTACCCCTGGAAAATGTATACTAAATCTGACTGAGGACATGCACTACTAAATGCTCAGCTGCAGCAGTCACTGGCAAGTGTCACTAAGGCTGAACTAGTCCGCCAGCTTCTGTAATGCAGCCAGCTTTACCTGTAAACACTGGTGTGCATTCATACTAACAGAAGACTTCTCCACTCAGGCTCCTGTTCCATGGTGAGAGTCTGTGTGCATGGCAACTACATCCCCAGGCTTACCCAGTACAGGAAACAAATAAAAGAAAAATGGCTTCTGCTCTGCTTTCTGTTTATGCTATAGAGATAAATTACATCCAGTGCCATCTGACCTGATGCAACAGCAGGCATATGTCCAGTCTCATGTCTACTAGAGGACGATGTGCTGCAGCAATTCACTGAAAAAGGAAAGTGCTTCTGCCTGACTTCTGGTAGACTAGCAGTTCCAATTTGAGCCATCAATGTTTCAGTTTATGCAAAGACACTTCATAGTTTCTAGGGTCAGAAGGGACCTGAGTAGATCACCTAGTCCGACCCCCTGCCTTGGCAGGAAAGAGTACTGGGGTCAAACGACCCCAGCAAGGTGTTCATCTAGCCTTGTCTTAAAGACCCCCAGGGTAGGAGCCAGCACCACTTCGCTTGGAAGTTGGTTCCAGATCCTAGCTGCCCTGACCGTGAAGTAACGCCTCCTGATATCTAGCCTAAATCTATCCTCTGCCAGCTTGTGACCGTTATTCCTGGTCAGTCCTGGTAGTGCACGGGGGAACAGGGACTCCCCCAGTGCCTGCTGATCCCCCTTGACTAGTTTGTAACAGGCCACTAGATCCCCCCTCAGCCTTCTCTTGTGGAGGCTGAACAGGTTCAGGTCCCGTAGCCTCTCCTCATAGGGCCTGCCCTGCTGTCCCCTGATCATGCGAGTGGCCCTCCTCTGGACCCTCTCCATGTTGTCCACATCCCTCTTGAAGTGCGGTGCCCAGAACTGGATGCAGTACTCCAACTGCGGCCTGACCAGTGTCACATAGAGGGGAAGGATCACCTCCTTGGATCTGCTTGAGATGTATCTGTGGATGCATGACAAGGTATGGTTGGCCTTCTTGACTGCATCCCCACACTGCTGGCCCATGTTCATCTTGGAGTCAATGATGACTCCAAGATCCTTTTCCGCCTCTGTACTGACAAGAAGGGAGTTCCCCAACCTGTAGGTTTGGTGCTGGTTGTTCTTCCCCAGGTGCATCCACCCACCCTTGTAACCTGTCTAGGTCTGATTGCAACCTATTCCTCCCTTCTAGCGTGCCCACATCCCCCCACATCCTAGTGTCATCAGCAAATTTAAACAGGGTGCTTTTTACTTCATCAGCGACTTGGATGAGGGGAAAGACACTTGCTCTTGCTACATGCAAAGAGACCTGACAATGTTCTTTTTCATACTATCAGTGTGGCAGGAAATAAATGGCAGGGACCTAAATAGCTCTGGGGATGTATATGAAATATGGAAATCTGAATTTCAAGGAAGTGGCATTACAGGTTAAGAAAGTTTAAGTACAAAGTTCAGATCTGGTGGGAGATTTCTAAATACTGGAGAACAAAAAGCTTACCTCTAATTTATGTGATCCCCACCTATCTCAAACATTAGCTACACCAAGTCATTACACAACACCCTCAGGAAGCTTGAAAGTGTTTGTGAAGCAAGGTTCAATATGGCAGGGATGGTCAACCTGTGGTATAAGTACCACAAGTAGAACAGGCAGCTTCTGTTTGTAGCATATGGCAGACTGAGGTGAGGACAGGCAGGACAGTAGTAGACAGGTCCAGAAGAAGCAGTCTATCAGATTGGGCAGGGAGCACAAGGCTGGGAACAGAAAGCAGGGCAGCAGATCAGGCAGGGGAAGGAATCAGAGTGGCAACTGGGGAGGATGTGGGGCTAATTAGCAGCATGCCCCCCAGAAAGTTTGGCCCCCACTACACTATGGCACAGTAAGATGAACTAATTTGCCTGAAGCCAGACAGTGAGATCATAATAGAGCTAGGACAAGAATGCAGGCATATTAAATCTTCACACTATTGCTTTACGCATTAGGACACAGTAACTATCTACTAGTTTGGATGAATTATTGAACACAAATACACACATCTGCTCCCAGACACCGCGCAGCACCCTGCCGAGCCACACTGCACCCACATGATGCGACACCTGCCACAAAGGTGTCAAATGGGGGTACCATCCTCGCTGCCCCACACTGTGCAAGGGGGGGCTCTGCCACAAGCCCCCAAAGGCCCTGATTGCTGCTGCTACATTCAGTGAGTGCGGGGCTTTTTTGTTTTGTTTTGTTTTGTTTTGTTTTTTAAAGTGCCAGGAGGCTGGGGCTGGGCAGGGCAACCATGGGGCCTTCTCCCACAGCTTCTCCCACCCAGGGAGTGGCAGGCACAGCCAGAGGAGCCATGGGAGAAATTGCAGCTGCCCGGCTGTGCCTGCCTCTCCCCGGCTGATCTGAATCTCTGAATCAGCGCTGAAACAGCATCAAAACTCTGAAACAGATTTGGCCGAATTGAAATAGAACGGTGATCCGAAACACCAAAACGAATCACTGCCCCTCCCTAATGGGCAAATTCAAAATGGAAATGAAACAGCCATTTCGCACAGCCCTGTTGGACACATGAGCTACGGGCTTCTGACCAACGGCAGAAAGAAGACTGTGGGTACAGAAGTACTCTGTGCACATTTTACAGCACTGTAATTTAGTGCACTTTTTATAGCTTTACAAAGTTACAGTGCTCTTAAACATGACAGCAGTGCAGTGTTTGGTGGGGCCCCTCTGTGCCTCCCTGCTCTTTCCAGGCTTGGAGGTTGGGGGCGTTCCGCAGCCTCCTGAAGCTTTTCCACTGGTCAGAAATGTGATTAGTGTAAAGGATATTATTAAAGCACTGTAGGTTGCTAAAGTGCTGTAAAGCACTGTACTCATTTATAACGTGCTGTAAAGCCACGCACTTCTGTTATTATGGCAATAAAGCAGTTTGAATGGCAAAAAAGCAACTTCCATACACGCCCTGTCAGAGAAATTGCAACATGCCTTAAAAATAATAGTTGGAGCAGTCAACAGTCTGACATGAAGATTGTGTCTGCAGCAAACAGAAAGGTTTATTGGATCCTGACAAATTCAGAGTTTGAAGAGCACGTGAATTTTGAGACACACTCAGCAAAAGGGGCTTTGGTCTCTAATATGCTGGATCAGAACTGTAGACTACAGCTTGTCCATAAATCAAAAGTAGTTTGGGTTGGGGGGGGGGGGGTTACAAGCATGAGGTACTCTTTGCCATGGAGAAAAGTAGCTTTCTAATCAATGAATTCCCTTTGCCAGTGGCAAAGTTGGCTTGCATCAACCATACTGCTCCCTAAGACTGCTCAAGTGTAACTGCACTGCACCCACAGCCATGGGAACTTTAAAGCAGTAGCCTCCACACAGCTCAGAACATATAAGCCTCCACTTTGGTCTAGCCAGTTATCACTCCATCCAGCAGAGGCCATTAGCACCAGTTCATTGCAGTAGAGATGCAAGGTAAAGTCTTGCAGTGCACTGACACTGTCAGCACATGGTTTTTCCTAGCCATTTGTCTTACCTGGGTAAGTTTTGAAGTAAGCATCTACAAATCTCTGATTGTCTCTATAGATGGTTCTTGCCATGCCAGGCCACGGCTGCGCAATGCACAGAGCACCAGAGACGTCATTTCCTTCTATCACTTTCCCCTGTAGATCCAAGAACAGGACAGATCATCAGACCAATGCAATGGAAACAGCACAGATTAAAGGAAAGGATCTGGCAACACAATCTGAGTGAAGCATCATTCTAGCCTCACCCCAGTTTTACACCGGTATCATCCTACTGACTTGAAAGCAGTCATGCCTGCCTGCACCAGGGCAAGTGAGAGCCCCACCAGTTTTTCAGTTTCAGTGTTAATTACTCCACTGATTTATTTTCATTGCTTCCCATTCATATTTTGCCTGTGGTAGAACATATGTGGAGAAACAGGTCTCAACTACGATGCATTGACTGTGTCACACTTTAATTATTCAGATATACCAATAAGAGGGCAGCTGAGTATTATAAGAATAACCCTCTGTGCAGGTGAAAAAGCAGGTGACCCCCTGGACTGTAAAAGACAATACAAGATATACAGAGCCCCACTCCTCAGCATGCTGCTCCACACCTTCTTTAAGCCCTGGATTCATACCACTACCGGTGAAGAACCTACCAGAAGGGTACAGGGACCTACACATTCCTCATTTGGGGTCTATCAGTACCAATTCTGTCCCAACCAAAGATTAGCACAGTCCTGAAGGCCACTGCATCAGCACAACTCCCCATCCTATCCTGAGCATGCCACCCCAGCTCTTACCCACACATCATTAAGTCAGAGCAGTTCTTCTCATGCTGTCTGAAAACCATGGTGATAGCAGTTTTTTTGGAGCTGTTGCAGCTCTATCTAGAGAAAGGTCACCAAAGCCCTTTGATTTAAATGGAAGGCAAATGCCTAACCTGCTCACGTTGCTATTGGAAGCCCCACAAAGTGCCATCTTCTATCTCTGGTCATTTAACACCTTGGAAACTCTGGCCCTGCATGAGTGGGGAGGGGGGTGGCACAAAAGCAAGCCCCCCTCCTCCCACACACACTTTGAATGAGATCTGTACAGTAGTTTTTTACATCCAGGCCAAGTCCAGCTGCAGCCCATGGGCAGGTGGCCAACCCAAAACAAGTTTTTTAATGCCAACCTGCAAAATTTTTTACTATGATATGCTTTACATAATGTAAATGTAACCCTTCTGCCAGGCCCTGGACAAGGGTAGGGTTCAAATTTAGAGGCTTAACACCAACCATAGTAAAAATGTTTGGCTGTCAATAAAGTTTGCAGATTGTCAGAAAAAAAAAATCTCTTGGGTTGACAACCCCAGCTTGACTGCAGCAATGATTTTTATACCCTACTACTCCCATTCCAGGGTTCCTCTACTCACCCCCGCACCGTGATATCCCCAATTGCATCCCATACCAGACTGTCCCCCAAGACTCCCCCCACACACCTTACCCCTTCTAGCCCCACTCCCCATGTCCCGGCTCAGATCCCCAAGGAAGCACTTCTATCTGCCTACCTGCAAGGTGAGCAGTGTTACAAGCAGATGAGATGCAGCAGCAGCGCACATGACTGCAGGTCAGGAAGGAAGCTACAGAGACTCCCATGAGCTACAAAGGCTTGGTAAGAACTTCTCTGAGGGTGCTGTGCTCCTGCTTAGACACCAGGTGGCACTGCTGTACTCTGTCCATTCTTCAACACTGCCAGTGAAGGGAGCTTCCATAAAGCTCTGGCTGCTTAGTGTTTATATGAACAGCTCCATATTTTTATGGACAGATGTTTTTAGGCTTGCTTTTTATGCAGCATCTGTAAATTTATGGACAGCTAACAACCATACCTGTTGGGCTTTGTGCCAACAGGTCAGGGCCCAAGCCAATGGCAGAGACAGGCAGCAGCTCCAAATCGAGGGCACCTGGGCACACCAATTAGTTGCAACAAAGTAAAAGGGGTGTGGCTTTACCATGTGTCCACTGCTCTGTGGTGTTTGTGTGTGTGCAGCTTCTACCCTATGGTAGAAGAAAGCTAACCAAAGCAAGCTTAGCTCTCTTCTAATGCCTGCTTGGTGAGGAGTGCTACCACTGACTAGTTGCATGTACTGTGCATGCTACATGGGCAGTTACTACAATGCAGCTGATGTGAGGGTGTGGATTCCTAGCATTTACTCAGTGGTCACTTACTCATTTGCCCACATCTAAAGTATTGTTAGTCTCTTACAGCTATCTTAAATGAAGGCACCAGTTCCACCTCTGCAAGGTGAGAAGTTTAACCTGGGCCATAACTATCTCATTCCACAATAAAGGTGGCTGCTAATAACAGAAAAAAATCTAGTCTCAGGCTACAGACCCATTTTTCACAATACATATTTCCCAGAATGCTCAGAAAATGCTAACAAATACTCTGAGCTCACTGCCTGCAAGGAGAACATGGTGGGCAGGGGAATTTTCTTGGCTACAGTACACATTTAGCAGTGAATTTTAAGAATAAAATCCTTTCATGGTTGCAAGCAGGCTGTGTTTTTAGCAAATCTGACTCATGCAAGAAGTTCCTTCGTCTCTAAGGAGACCATGCCAGAGCCACGTTATACACGTGTCAGTATCTTCACGACTGTGCCCTTCCATGATAAAATCATAGGAGCCACCCCAAAGCCACTTTGCAGCTGGCATTATTATCAGTGTTAGAGATATGGTATTTTATGCAATCGGATCCTCTACTGTATCAATTTAACGGAGTTTAAACAATATTTTTCCTTTTCCTAAATTATTTTGGCATTAAAAAGGCAACACAAGACAGACAAATGAAGTGACCGAATCTCCGATAGGTTTCCCATCTGACAGTGCAGTCCTAACTCACGTTCTCATCCATCAGTACAGGTACAATCCCAAAGAATGGTCTCATTGCCATAGCTGGAATGATTTCAGCTCCTTCCTCTGATGGTCGTGGAGCAATGCAAATACCACCCGTCTCTGGAAAAAGAATGCAAGAGTCAAAGAATCTGGGACTCATGTGCATGTCATTTAATGACGGGTTACAGCAAACACCTACATTTTGCAAACTAAACCAGAACAGCAACTTGCAGACACCTCTCACAGGTAAAACTCCATGGACTCAGAATTCCTGTTTAATCAAATTATAGGATCCCCCCTTTTGGTGGGGGAGGGGAGGGGGGAAGGAGGGGCCAATCAAATCTTTTGGCTAAGATTAAGTGAGACTGGGGGCATCTGAACCTCAAGGTCTCTGGGTCTGGGGCTTGCACACAGGATGCCTGCCTGGATTTGGGAAGTATCCAAAGCCCCAGACCAATGGGTCTGGGAGGCAGGATACTTGCCCAGTGGTAGAGCCATGCAGACTTAACAATGGAGCTCTGCTCAGTCAAACTTTGGAACTTGACTACTGGGCTTTGTCCAACTGAATCTGGAATTGACTTGGCCCTTGAAACAAAATATAAAACAGAATCCTTATCAATGGTTGGCCAGCTGGTGAGCTGTGGCTACTGCTCATTACACTGGTCACACCTTTATCACTGTTACCCTGTGCTCTCTCTCTGTCGCAGGCACAGAGTGACAAATGAAGACTGCTAGCTCATTTTTTGGACAGGGACCATATTTTGAGACAAGTCTGACCAGGGCCCAGTCATGGCCACAAGATGCTACTGCAACAAGTAACAACAACATGTATGTTTCAAATTCTTCCCTCTTTACCTTTCTTCCTAGAGTCTATTTTCTAAACATTCCAGCATCCATTTTGCTTTTCACTGCATATCAAGAACTCTTTTAAAAAGCATAGCACCTAAAGCTACAAACAGGTTTGCTGGCATATCAGTGCAAAACATCTGTCTGCCTTGGCCTTTATAAGCTATGTATAAACATACATTTCTCTATATGGAATCATGATGAGCAGAAAGAACAAGGCATGGGTAAGCAATTGGCCTCAGGTGGGTAGCAACTCCTCTCATTGTAGGGTATTACACCAAAAAAAAACGGACTTAGGGCTTAATGCTACAATCACTGTTGTCAATGGTAAAACTCCTGCTAACTTTAATAGTGTAAAAACATGGCCTTCCTGTGCATTAGCCCAACAGCTGCAGCAGCTGGGCCAGACACCATGCAGGAAAGGAAGTAGCAGCCTATGTGTCCTGTCAGGGCAGCAACTGTAGTCTGGATGCACATCAACATTTCAAACATGGAGATTCCTTACCTTAGTCCTGAACCCTGTGAGTAAAATAAAGATAGCTGATCTATTGGGCCTATATACTCCTATCCTAGAATCCAGGCCACAGTCATCATAGTTCATGCTCACACCCAGTAGATAAATTAATCTCTACAGATATCAGCTAGTGCTAAATGCAGACAGCAAGAAGGTGGCATTTACACTTTTACTGAATTCCTTCACATCCCCAGTGCTGCCTGGACAGTGCTATTCAACTCTTTTCCTGCTGCACAAATGGGTTCAGAAGTGATGACACAAGCACATGATTTTGGGAGGGTTGATTTCCTGAGCTGTTTTTGCAGCACTTTGAGAGGTCTGGATGAAAAGCACTTTGTGAAGCTCAATCACCATTATTACAGAATACCTCATGAGAAGCACACCCTGTAGCGTAGGTCCCCTGGTCCATCTCTCTCACCAAGGGCTCAAAAACCTGATGGTACGGCTCTGCAGCTAACTTGATATGGAACGGAGCCTCCAGCCATTTTATGGCCCCCTAGCAGCTGGCATGCCAAGGAAACCCACCTTTGGTTTCAAACCATTATTCTCTGTAGGAACTCCCGTATCTGACTACCCTGCTTTCTGTCCCTTCCATGCCAAGGGAAACATTAATTAGCTGCTCCAAAAGATAGACCCTTCTGAGCTTTCTGGCCCCGCTGTCCATTTCCTATGGCTTAGTCACAGGAGGTACAATAATACTATAACGGTATTATTAATAAAAGAGATTGATTAGCAGTTATGTTCTTCTCTCCTTTTGTTGCATCATGGAATAAATGCAGTAATTGAAGGATAAATTCACAATGATGTACTTGGGTCAAGCCTTATTTGCAAATGATGAGTCAATGCAAATAATGAGAAAAGCATCAGTCTTTGTGTGTCCCTGCTGTTTGTTAACACAAAGCAAGGTCAATATGTCTAGCTGGCTGACAGATATTAGTACTCCTGTTCTCAAAGAAAATGAGGTTAGCTATTGATTTAATGACAGCAGAAGCAAGTGCTTGAGCAGATCCTATATATGTGATGGATAAATAAGATAACAAGCACTAAAAGGCCCATCCAAAGTATAGTATGTTCCTCTGAATACCCCCTACCTATTCAACACTATTCAATACCACAGTCTAGTGATTCAAGAACCACTTACAAACAGCTTTACCTTGGGAACAGAAGTAAATTATAAGCTTAAATATATCCAATCTCTTTTTCATATCATTTAAAACTAGCCCTAACAATCAGATGCATCTTTGAATCATATTGCTATTAGTCATAACACAGACCCAACTATCCAATATTTTAGCACAAAAAGCCATAATTTCTCTCTCACACATACAGACACACCCTCCATGTTACTTGTCCCTCATAAACTATTTGCCCAAATACGTCTGGGTGGGTTCTTAAGGCATGATTTATTCATCTTTATCTGTTCAGTTTTACTATCTGGTGACATGCTGCTGCTGCAGAAGGCAATCTTCCACAGAGGACAGGAGGCATTTTATGAGCTATATTTAAATTGGCTGAGAGAGGTGACACTGTGGTAATACATGCTGCATTCAACTAAACTGTTTATCTAAACTGTTTTCATCCCACATATATGTCCAAACAGTGCATTTAATCCTTCCATATGTATTTATTATTAAAACATAACCTTTCAAGATAGAAAAATTTTGTTCTCTAGCAAAATACATTTCTATAAAGATTTGTGAGACCTCCAATAGCTGCTAATTGGTCACCTGAAAGCACTTGGCCAAGTTTAAAAGGCATTCCAAGCTCTCATACAAAAAAACTAAAACTCTTGGTTCCAAAATGATACCTCTTATTAGACCAACTGGGAAATTGCAATTTATACACAACAAGAAATGTGGGCTCTGGCTATCAACCAGGCAACTTTTTATCAGTGTTAGCAAACACATAGCAGCCATCACAAGTGTGGGCCCTTTACTAACTCTGCAGCTACATGACAGATGTTAAATACATGACCTGAAGTAGCCAGGGAGGGGAAGAAGGCAGGGGGGCTAAATTTGCATTTCAAAGTAAAACTTGTAAGGGGCAAAACACTGGAATACCTAAGAAGAGGCAAGAGACAGAGACATCGAACAGTGTATGATAGTCATGAAACATGGGATATACGAAGGACCCAAGGGGGAGAAAGAGGTGCAGAGCCCTATAAAAACCCAGGCAAAGACTGTGGAATTTCCCAGGCCTGTGGAATTTCTTCCTCATCACCTAAGAAGACCTGAGAATCCCCCAGAAAGACTTTCTGAATACCTCTGCCCTCAGGATTACATAAAACCTATGCAAGGCTTTCTGTTGTCTTTTTGGCTTATGTTAAATTTTAAATTAAGCTAAATTGTGTGTACTGTTACTGTATCTTATTGGGTTGTCTTAGCTTAGGCGGAGTTCTGTTGTTCTTTGTTGTGTGCTTGAAGTTGCAAATCGCTGTGCTCAATAAGTGCTCTCTTCAGAGAACTGAGTATTCTTGTTCAAGTATTTATGAATTCAGTGCCACTACCTACAGCCTAATATTCAGTCTAGTAATAGCAAAGTAGTAGTTACAATTCAATTTTTAGCTTTAATGCTGTAGTTATTTTTTAAAAGATGATATATATCTGGAAATCTGAGCCAACTTATATACATCACTAACTAATCTAGTGAAAGTTCAGAAGTCATAATAGGGGGACAGGGTACTTTCTCTGGTCCCCATCACTGTACAGCAGTAATCATTCACTGTTTTGGAAGGTTTTATTTTCTTACCAATTTAATCTCATGCATCAAAGATGTGACAAGAGGAAAGAAATGCAGTTCCCAGGCATCTAGGCACTGTTTATCTTAATTTGACTGAGAAAGAAACTAGTCTCATAACACAGCATGCAGCATTCATTTTTCATCTGAAGAGTTTTGGCTTTTTTACCTGAATATAAGTGGATTTTAAAAATCTAACTTGAATTATATGGGACTCACTCACTGCTCTCCAAGCCAAGACAAGCAGGGAAAGGCAGGTTATGCTGAAAGTTCTGGCTGGAAGCAGGAAAAACGAGTACAGACCCCGCAGTATGGAAACATGGAGGTGGGTTTGGAAGCAATGATAAAGTAAGCATGCTAGCCTCCTCCAGCAGAAGAGGGAGGTGCTCAGTCCCTGTGTAGGAGAGTCTGGAAATGGGAGGGGTGCTCTTTGGTAGAGGAGAGGAAAAAGGCAGTGTGAAAATACACATACTCTTTCTTTAATCTACAGCAGGAAGACAGGCAGGAAGGAGAGCCCAGAACAAAGTATACACTGGAGTACAAACAGAGCCAGCAGCTTTCATGTGATCTTCCTTATTCCAGGTATGCTGCTGGTTCAGCTCTAGAAAGTGACCTTTTTGTGATTCTTCTTGTCATATGACAGGCAAGAGCAGGAGAAAAGGCAGACCTGGAGGTCTTCTTAGGTAATGAGGAAGAAATTCCACAGGCCTGGGAAATTCCAGTCTTTGCCTGGGTTTTTATAGGGCTCTGCACCTCTTTCTCCCCCTTGGGTCCTTCGTATATCTCATGTTTCATGACTGTCATACACTGTTCATACACTCAAGGCAAGATCCTGTTCCACGTATTAGGTATATAAGTGTACTTAACAGCCTAAGCATAATTCTATTCCACCCTGATCAAATCCCCAAAAAATAGTTAATGCAAAAGAAGGGGAGGAAGGTGGGTCCTTCCCTTCCTCACTGCTTTTAGGTGACTCAGTCTTAAAGGGTAGATGATGGTGTGCTACAAAAGTAGATGCACTGATGGCAGAGGTGTAAGTGTGCAGTTGGGTACCTTGGGCAGCTTCCACACACAAGGGCCTCAGCAACTTCTGATTGCTGCTGCACCACTAGTGAGATTGTGGCTGCAGCAATGGCCTTTTTTTCTGCTTTACCCACCCCCGCCCCACCGCCTGCCTCCCCCGCAAGTTGGTACCTAGGGTAGCTGCCCCAGTCACACCACTGATAGATGGATTTTCAGGACTCTTGAATCCAGTAAAATAAAATCACACTTAGATGCTTCTGTTTACTTAGATGCCCAATTAGTAGAATAGGATCTAGTCCTTACCTCCAGAAGGCCCTTCAGTAAAGAACAGTAAGGATGGGTGCATCATACTTTTGTGACCTGAGAGCCCAAGCACAAAAGAGTATGCAAGAGAGTAACAAAGAAAGTAACTCGTATTCAAACACCTGGACAAAATTTTCATGAAAATGTTTCCAAATGAAATAGACCATTTTAAACCAGTGGTGCTCAACCTCCAGCCCACATGCTGCATTTGGCCCATGGGGCTATGTTATCCACCCTGCATGGCTCCTCACTGGTCCAGAAATTTGGTGGTAGGGGAAGAGTGGCAGCCATGGCAATTAACTCTGCCACTGCTTCCCCACTGCCAAATACCTGTGAGGAGCCCTACGGGCTTGATGGTGCAAGCCCACAAGCAGATTGCTCCGGTATGTGGAGTTGCTTCATATCTGGGGTCACTCCATGACCAGCTCTAGTGTGCAGTGCTAGGCTTGCCCACAGCTGGATCCAATGCACTAACCCCACGCTGGATCAGTCCCAGGGGATCCAGCCCAAGGACCAGCCCTATGCCACTCATCTGGCCTGCAGGCCAAATAGTTGCACACCATCATTTCAAACCATTTTCTAACCATGCTCATTTTTGGGGAACATTTCCTGCCCCTTCTCTGCCACCAACCCCAGTATCATGCTGATTACCTGTTTGCCACCAGGTGTCCACAAGGGTGCATTTGCTGTCTCCCACTACTTTGTGGAACCACTGCCAAGCTTCATGGTTAATTGGTTCTCCCACTAAAGCCAAAACAGCAAAGAAAAAGGAGTGAATTCTGGTGAAAGCACCTTTATGCAGAGCACTATCCTGTCAACACCCCCTGCATGTGGACTGCATGACATCAGTTTTATAATTATAGCAATTGGTCTGCAGCTACTAACTTTTCTTAATATTTGGCTGAGACATAAAAATAAGCCTAATGGAAACATGTAACAGCACAGCTTGGATGTTCACCACTCTTTCCTTGGACTGGGGAACAGCACAGAAGAGTAACTGAAGGTAACTTGAGGATCTTCAGAAAACCACAACCGTGATTATGCAGGGGGCCATTTGGGCCTTGCCTACACCTCAGCAGCAGCCACTAAGGGCAAGGATGTGTCCCACCCACATCCCTCCCACCTGTATCTCAAGGCACACTCCAAATCTGGAAATACAACACTCAGGCAATTCCAAACTTATCCCTCTGTGCCTGCTCTCAAGCCTGCAGTCAGCCTAAGAACCACCAATAGGCATGTGTCCACAGTGGTCTCTTTGGTGAACTTCTGGGTCTGGGATGCATCCACACACGCACATAAGTGCAGCATGGGTAGGGTGTCCTCATCCTTGTCTTTGCCAGGCTCCTTGCCATAATGGTGCAGAAAGCCCATAGGTATGTCCAGCCTGAGAATGGCTATTACTTTAAAGTATGCCATTCAGGCCACTGAATTTGTCTGGTATCTTTTTCTGAGGAATGCTACTCTTGCTAAAGGAATCTCAAAAATAAGGTATAAGTCTGGGTTATTAACTGCTTTAGTTTTAAGTGCTTTTCCTTCTCACTTAGTAACTATATCACCATAAGTAACATGTGTGTGAAAGAACATCTACTCTGAGCCAAACTGCAGCTGGGTTAAGCCATCCTGGCTTCACTGATCTCAGCAAAGCTGCCTCCATTGTTATCTGCCAAGGCTCTGGTTCTACAATTCCTTTCATACAAGTTTCCAGTGGTTCTCACCTGACCCCAGGGTTTTTAAGGAAGATCGGTCATACTTCTTCACCCACTGATCACCATATTTCAAAAGCAGACGGATAGCAGTCGGTGCTCCATAAAACTGATTAATTTGTAGCCTCTGTACAGTTTCCCAGTAACGACCTGCAAAATCCCCAAGAGTCACCTTTAATCTAGCTGTTTACAAAACAAAGCTATTGTTGCAAATGCTGAACATGAATGTCAACAGAGTGTACAGGAGCTACTTGCAGTATCCACAGTACAATGCTGATGACATCTTTATTACCCTTAGTACATACTTTTTTTAATAATCACATTGTAGCAGGTCAGGGATTAACACTTAGCTTAACCAGTCACCTTAAATCTCTCACTTTGTACATTTATTCCTGAGCACCCTGGCTGCACAGGACTTTTAACATGTTAGGGAAAGTCATGGAGCCAGGCCCACCAAGGAAATTATAAGCCCCTTTTAGTACTGGGGGCCACTAATGATGTGTTACAGATTACTTGGGACAAATAATAATGAAAAAAAGGATAGGAATGGAGGTCAAGAGTAATAACTAGTGTGCTAAGGGGGGACACTGAGCAGAGCACACCGGACAGTGCCCACTGGCCCCCAAACAAGTCCAAGGAGCCAGTGGACACTGCCCACTGATACTCTGCCCAGAGATGGAAATGAAATAGGGCAAGGACAGAAGCTCCCCAGTCTCCAGGGACCCTCCCAGCCACAGCCTCCTTCCTGGGAAGATACATGGCCAGCTTGGCCAGGGCCAGGAGGATGTTGACCAGGAGGTCCTGGAACTTGCTGGAGCCACAGACCTGAAGTGCAAAAATGAACAGATGAGGGGAAAAGTGCAGCCAGAACCTCAACAGGAGGTTCTGGAGAAGGCAGTGCAGGGTAGGCTTGCCCTGGTAGGTTCCAAGTAGACTTGTACCAGGGTCTTCCTCTGCTCACAAAAGGGGTAGGTATCAAGGGGGGGGGTCTGTGAACCATAACAGATACATGCCCGTGGTGATGGCTCTGTGGAGGAGCCACCAGCTGAGGTCCCCAGTGGCTCACAGGATATAGGTGGAATGCAGTCTTGTCCCCAGAGACCCTCACCCCCACCCAGGGTGTCCCGCCACTTGTTGTCTGGGCAGGACGTGAGGACAGGATGATGGATGGTGTGGAGCATGAGCATATAGTTTCATAGTTTGTAGGGTCAGAAGGGACCTGAGCAGATCATCAAGACCAACCCCCTGCCATGGCAGGAAAAAGTACTGGGGTCAAAAAACCCCAGCAAGGTGTTCATCCAGCCTCCTCTTAAAGACCCCCAGGGTAGGAACCAGCACCACTTCGCTTGGAAGTTGCTTCCAGATCCTAGCCGCCCTGACAGTGAAGTAGCACCTCCTCATGTCTAGTCTGAATCTACCCTCTGCCAGCTTGTGACTTATTTCTAGTCACTCCTGGTAGTGCTCAGGGGAACAGGGACTCCCCCTATGCCTGCTGGTCTCCTCTGACTAGTTTGTAACAGGCCACTAGATCCCCCCTTAGCCTTCTCTCTGTTGTCCACATCCCTCCTGAAGTGCGGCGCCCAGAACTGGATGCAGTACTCCAGCTGCACACTTCATAGAGCTGGTGGTGGTGGGTGGTTCAAAAGCAGACCAGCTTGATGTCCCCAGCCTGCTGAGATGGTGAGGTGGGGAACACTGTGGGGCTGGCTGAGGCAAGAGCCCCACAACAAGCTCCAGAGGACTGGGGGACACCAGGGGGGCAGGGACTGCCCTTGTGCTGGATCTGGTCTACATAGGCAAGGGCAATTGGAGGCAGGGCAGCCTTGACCTCCTGGAATAGGCAGCAGGGTGCACGCAGCATGGTCAGCTTCATGCACCAGGCCAGCACAGAGGGAACTGCCCACTCTTGCTTGGCATAGTCCAGGAGATCCCCGATACTGGTGATGAGGGCCAGGACCATCCTTGGCACACCCAGGGCACCTCTGTCACCGGCATCACCAGCTGCAAGTTTTCCAGTAGGGGCTCAGTAAGAAGGTCAGCATCCTGGGCAACTGTCTCTGGAGACCTGGAAGCAGAGACCAACCTCCAGGCCCCGAGGGCAGGTTTGGGGTTAACACTTAACCAATCACCTTGTCTCCATATTGTACATTTATCCCTGGGCACCCTGACCGCACAAGAATCAACATAAAAGGGGTACTCAAAACACCCTTAAACACAGCCCATACAGGGCAACTCACAGTCCTGAGGCCTCTCCCCAGGCCCCAAGAGGGTGCTACAGGCTTCATGTTGCTCCCTCAGTACCACAGTACAGTCTTCCTTCTCCCTCCTATGTAAGTTCCCCCTCCTGGCCTCATGGTACTCCTGTCTCCAGCGTTGCATCCCTGGGTCTTTTGCCAGACCCTGAGAGAGTCCTTGGCTCAGTTCTGCCATCCCAGCTTGCAGAGGCATTAAAATCAAGGGATGTAGTGGTCATGGGCGATTTTAATTACCCAGACATCTGCTGGGAGGAGCAGTCAGCCGGGACGGACCGCTCCAGGAGGTTTCTGGCTGAGATGCAGGACCTCCACTTG